GAGTTGTCTCTTTAATCTGGGGCTAGTAAGGCAAAGGGATCTTGTAGCACAGCCCTTGGCCCTTCCGTTAGAAATGCTTGTAGGATTGTCTGTGGTGTCCTAACCACCATTCTGCAGAAAGCTCCTCATTCACAGCAACTGGCCAAGAAGGCCAATGGGATCCTGGCTGCATCAGGAGGAGTGTTGCCAGCAGGTCAAGGGAGGGGATCCTGCYCCTCTCCTCAGCTCTGGTGAGGCCGCACCTGGARTACTGYGTGCAGTTCTGGGCTCCCCAGTATAAGAGGGACGTGGAGCTTCTSGAGAGGGTCCAGTGAAGAGCAACTAAGATTAAGTGAATGGAACATCTCTCATATGAGGAGAGACTGAGTCAACTGGGCCTCTTTTCTCTGGAGAAGGCTGAGAGCGGATCTGATTAATGTGTGTAAGTTCATGAAGGGAGAATGCAGGGAAGAAGGGGACAAGCTCTTCTCATTCGTGCCGCAGCAGAGGAGCTTCGTCCGTCCCCCCCCCCCCCTTTTTTTTTTAACCCCTCCCCCCGCCTCCTTTTTCCTAATACGGGAAAAAAAAAACAAGTGGCAAAATCGTGGCCTGGAAGTCTCTCATTTCACAGAAAGGGCAGGAAGATGGCAGCACAAAGAGCATTTGTTTTCCCCAATAAGTCATAATTGCCTGTTAAAACTTCAGCAGCATAGCTGCAATTTTCGTAGTTAACACGCTGAAAAATGCAATGAATAACCTTGCAGCCTTCTGCTAATGGTGAGAAGCTGCCAGGTTAAGTACCAGGGTTACATAGTGGTAGTAAGGCCATGTTTTCAGGCAGTAACTGGTTTTTTTGCTGTTATTTTGTGTATCCTGATAAGTGATCCAAAATGGTTGAAAAGGTGTTAACACTCTGTGTATTTACAAAATGTTAATTGGAAAACAAGGTGTTGCATCTTAACATGGGATATAATGGACAAACCCATTAACCTGCTGGCCTTGCTTTAAGGGCCTTCCCAAGGAGCTCACCTTTGGAAGCTGAGAATTTGCAATTTGAGTTTGAATATTCATGATTGTGATATAAATGCTTCAGTTCTGCTTACAGTGTCTGTTAACTGCTCCTCTACTTCTTTATGCTTAGAAACATTTTGCTGTCTTAATAAGACAAAGCGCTGTGCTGAGCAGTTAGTTAGTATGGACCTGTCAGCTCCAAATAGAGAAAGCTAAATGTGATCAAGCACTTGCTTTAGTATTTTGATTAAGGGAGGGAAAGAAGCCTGAAGGGAATCAGGTTGGAAGGAGATGTTCATAGGTGGGCACGCAATTAAATTGAGAGCACTCGGAGTAAACTTCTATTTCTAATTTTAGCTCCCTTTTTTCTTTAGGACCCCCCCCCCCCCCAAAAAAAAAAAAAAAAAAAAAAAAAAAAAAAAAAAAAAAAAAAAAAAAAAAAAAAAAAAAAAAAAAAAAAAAAAAAATTCTACCTGAAATTCACCAGGTAAGACTCCCATAAATCTACAGCTTTGAATTTTGAACAGTTTAAAAAAAAACCCAAAACAATAAAGAAAAAAAAAAACCCTACTGTTTTATGATGATTGCATACATCAAAAGTATATACAGGAGGCGTGAAATGGCAGATCAGTATTAATAGAGATACTGGTTGGATGAAGTGATTGAGAAGTTGAAAAATACCTGTGAATAGAGTCCATGTATGTCAGAGAGAGAATTACTCACTTCTATTTTTAGTAAAATGTTGTTAGTGTTGTGCTGTGAGGGGAATTTTTAGTCATACAAACTGGATTTTTTTTTTCTTTTTTAAAAACAAAGTTTAAATATTTGCCTTAGTATTTCAGTTTTAGTTTTAGTTAGGTCATTTCTGAGGTGTTCTACACTTCTTGAGATGCTAGGAWAAAAGTAGGCACAAAAATAGGCAAATTTGTTAAGGGGTCATCCCAGTTTCTGGAAAATTCCATATTGGCCTGGTGGAAACGTAGCTGTCAACAGCGAAGCAGCCTTTGGTTGGCCTTTAAGTTGTACAAGACTCTAGATTCATGGTAGAAGAGGAGTGACATAATAAAGGGAAATCTCTGTCAAAATGATTTTCCTGAAGTGCTTCATTTTCCAGAGTAATTTTGGGTAATTTGTAACATATTACAGAGACAGGAAAATACCCCCAAATTCTTATCTAAAAATTGAGATATTTGTCTAAATTGTGGCATGATAATTTAAAATGTTAATCCAAAGAATTAGTGTAGTTATTGATACCTCCGAGGTTTTTCTGTTTGTTTATTTTTGTGTGTGTGTCCCATTTTTATCATTGTAGGCATGAGAAACTTAAGAATTGTTTTTATCAACAAGGCGGTTCAAGAAGATGCTTGTGATTACCCAATGTAGGACAGATGGCTGCAGCTTTAGAGCACTGAACCCTTCACACTTMATAATCAACCCAGCACTAAGAAGAGATTTGCTTTTGCCTTGTGTTTCCTGGGTGTTAAAGCTGTGTTCTCTTAACAGAGTAGTTTAAGTATGTGTGCTTAAAGTAGGCTGATCCTCTCTTTTCCAAAGGGCGGAACACATGGCAGAAGGATACCTTGATTTGTGTTAGGATGCAGCTCCCCTTCCCGTCCTTCCCCTCCTTCCCATTCCTGCTGGYGCCCTGTGGCTCTGGGCTGTGCGCCCCTTCTACGCCCCGCAGGATCCCTCCGAGTGAACTGGGAAACTCTGGCCCAGAGGAAAGCGTGGTGGGAGAAAGACCAGGGCTTCCTTCTGCTGGCGGGGTGCATTTAGTCACTTCAGGAAAGGCCTATAGGTCTTTTCAGTGGTGAAATTAGAGAGAGGGGAGGAGAGGAAAGGCAAGATGAGGAAGCCCTCAATCCACCTGGTGTCAAGAGATGCCGATCGTGGACATGGAAGTACATTTTGTAGTGCAAAATGCAARGAGCTAAATAGAGTCAAAGGGTTCGCTGTGTAACCTTCTATACCTCCTTCTTAAACACTGGGGCAATATGGATTTTCTAGCAATCCGTTTGGTTTCATTTTTCTGAGGGGATTTTGGGATTCAGTTAGTGCTTGTGGTAAATGYGCAAGAGAAGCGTGAAGACAACAACTTGAATGAGAATCATTGTGATAATGATCTGAATGTGAGAGGACTTTTCTTAACTTACTCTTGAGTGCAAAATAATAATTYAATAAAATTGTTAATACAACTTGCCCAGTTTTGTTTGCTGTTGTCATTTTATTCTACCATGTAGGAAACTTTGCACAAAATCTTCCAAATAGTTTTCCACATTTGTGTGAATGGCAAAATGGAGTTCTAGCTTACCAGAGTGGCAGGTTGTGCAKAGGAGGGTTAGCTCCATTAATATAAATCATACTGTTGTTCAAAGCACTGCTTTTTTTTTTTTTTAATGAATGAGGATGGTCTAAGCATGCCTTTGTGTGTATGTTTGTGTAATAATAAGCAGCAATATCACTGAACTGTGAGATGGAAGAATTTTAACGGTGCTTGCATGGTATGAAAATCTCCAGAGAACCACGTTCAAAAGGGTGCGTGTGGGTTGTATGTGGCCATTACCCTAGGAGCCGCCCCGAGGAAGACACTTGCCTCCTTGGGCTTGTTGATGCCAACCCGTTTTCAGCCTTCTCTAAATGCCATGGTTGAGGCGGAATGAGTCAGACRGTTCCTGCTTGGATGCAGGTTCCATAAGACTGGTGCTGTGGCCTTGCCAGAGGCTTCTTGTAATCCCAGCAGCTGGGGAAGGCCGACTGCTGCATTTATTTCAGCTACCCACCTATCTACTCTTAAATGACTTAATTCCTGCCCAGCGTCTTGAGACTGATATCTGCAGTGCTGGGGGTTAAGACGAGTTGTGCCGAGGCAAGCTGAACTTTACAGAAAGRATTGGTCTTTTCTAACAGACTTTTTTAACACAGGTCATTTGGAGTCTTTTCTTGTTTTTATGGAAGTGTAAAGCAGATTGTTGGAGAGGTTTCTGGTGCTATTCAAAAAGCCCACATACAAAAATGGAGGAGGAGAATCTTTGGGATATTTAATTTCATAAAAGTTTTTCATATTTAAAAAAATAAAAATATTAAATTGAGAGAGAATAATGCTCAAATAAAGCAGAATCTGTGGAACCTTATTCAGAACTACTTATGCTCTGTCCATATATTCAGGTTTAAACCAACTTCAAGGCCCATGGGAGAAGGGGGCTGAGTTGCTTTTCTTCTTAAATGCCTGCAGAAAGCTAATAGATGCTACAGAATTACATTAATTCAGCAATTGTTGAGAGAAATGTTAAATATTTAACTCTTTACTTGGGCATTTTAACATGTCTTCCTGTTGAAATTGTAGATGGTGCCTCTGCAGCAGGCAAGGAAAAGCACTTTAGGTAGCATATCTTAAGCTTGTGTCTTTTAATGCTTATTTGTAAGGATGGTGTTGCGCTTAGGATGTTACTAAGAGCTGGACATAACCCTTAGCAGCCCCGTATTATTGCTGCAACCACTGCGCTTTGAGGGTGAGTCGGAACAAAGCTTAGGCAGAAGGCCCTACTTTTAACCCGTTAGCTCTGTAAGACATCTAAAATACAGCCTGGGCTCTCAGGCTGAAACTAAAAATGAACTAGAGATGGTTCTGAGGGAAAAAAAAAGAGTTGAGAAACTCTTGAGAACTTGCTATTTATTTTTTTAATGACCTCCCTATATACAGTGCCAGTATTCAAGTTAAATTTATGTAATCGTGTGCTTYGGCTTTGTATGTTGCTTTTATGTTTATCCCAAGTCAATAAAAACACAGCTTTGTACCTAGTGACGTTTATGGTTTTGGACTTTGTTATGCCACAGCATGTTGAATTTCTGTGGAGGTTTTGTATCTTAAATCGGCCTGATTCCAATACTTTTTGTCTCTGTATGTGGGTAAGCCCATTGATTGATTCGGGCTTATTTGGGCTCTTGCTGCTTTGCATGGACTGAAATGTCAGTCATGAGTTTAAAACTTATTATTTTGTTCTCCTTTCAGGTGCCTGCTGATGGAAATGCCGGCTTGTTGGCAGAGCCCCAGATTGCCATGTTCTGTGGCAAGCTCAACATGCACATGAATGTTCAGAATGGAAAATGGGAATCAGACCCGTCGGGGGCCAAGACCTGCATCAGAACTAAGGAAGGGATTCTGCAGTATTGCCAGGAGGTAAGTTCTTCATGCAGGGAATAATTTCAGTGGTTCAAGTACAGGTGCTTGCTAGAGAAATGAATCCCTAGGGATGTTCCATTTCTCTCTATTTTCTACTTCATTGCCTTTTTATCCTCTTTTTAAAGAGACTCTCCCCAGAACCCATTAAAACGTCTTCAAAAACTGGCTGCTGGGGGTCACTGAGACTATTGTGGGACAAGTTTGTCCTTCCGTCTTCTGCCTAGGGGGCATAAATCTGTTGGATGTCTAGTCAAGTACCAGCTTGAAGAGTRTCTTGAGTAAAGCTGAGGTGAGGGTTATTATTAAAATACCCTCGTTCTTGCTGGGCTGATTTTGAAAGAGGCAGCTGTAACATCTGTCATTTTGCTGTGGTACAGAAATAGCCTGGGTCAGTCTACAGCTTTGGTCTCTGCTGCACACTGAACCTTTTGGAGCTTCTTAATGGAAAAAGCTTCTACTTTTATGCTTTTACAGGTTGAATCATGATGAGTGATTTTATATTTGAGAGTAAAAACTTATTACCCGCTCACATCCCAAGAACAGATTGTGTACCTAATTTTGTTTTGTACTCATGCTGTGATAGCGTGATAACCTGTGTGTGACAACTTGAAAAGAAAATGTGGATCTCATGCCATGAAACAAAAGGGCATGGGTTGAGTAGCTTTAGTCCTTAGGTATTTTCATTTCCTTGCTGCCCTTTTTTTGTCTTTTTCTTTTTTCTTTTATTGTTGTTTTCCTTCTTCTATTGCATATTGCTAGAGCAGTATTAGCCTTGCTTTCTAAATGTCAAACCAATYCCTGTGAAAATGCCTTCTAAAACACAAAATAGTTCACTCTTCTGATCTCATCTGTCTTAGTATCTTCATTTCAATTCTCTCATCCATCGGTTGTTCTATTTCTTCTAGTAGTTTTACTTTGTTATTGTTGGATTTTGGCTTTACTGTCAAGAATATTAACATGAAGGTTGATGTGCTTTTAGGAAAAAAATGTGATGGATGCTAAAATTGATACATTTCCAGTAGCTTTCTCTTTTCACTAAAAGAATTACTTTAGGGGAAATCAAAAATACTGTGTTGACTACTAGCAAAAATACCAAAAATATTGGCAAGGTTTAAGAGGCTTCTGCTTTTCCATGTCTCTTTTGATTCATCTAAAAAAGGCGATTTATTCATAGTGAAGTTATTGAGGAGGAGGGAAGGAATAGAAAGACAAAAATAGGCGGTGAGTAGAACTCCTCAAGATAGTATGACTTCTTTTCTAAAGTTACAGAGAGAAATAAATTTAGAGAAAAGATGTAGAAAGTTTGGGCAGTTGTAAGGCATAAGTTTTTAGTAGATGGCAATTCCGTTGCATCTGCTGCAGGTACTCAAGGATTCCCAACAGAGACTGGGAGCTGTAAATGTCGAGTGAATTCAGGTAATTTTGAAAATTTGSGTGGTATAAAAAATGAAAAAGAAATGATGAAAAAGATGGTCAGGGAGTGACAGCCATATGCTGATAGATGACAAAGGGAGTATTAAGGGATGTAGGGAGGTTACAATTGGACATGAAGAAAAAATTCTTCACCATGAGAATAGCGAAGCGCTGGTGCAGGTACCTGGGCAGGCTGCATTAATGTCCATCCTTGGAGATGTTGAGGACTGAGCCACATGGAGCCCTGAGCAGCCTCATTGAACTTCCGAAGTTAGCCCTGCTTAGAGCAAGGGCTGCTCTCACTGTCTGGGGCTCCCTTTCAAACTTGGCTGTTCTTCGAGTCTGTGAATTCTGTCTCCTGGCTGGAGAAGCAGGCAGAGGAGGAGAAGAGATGATCTGTTGCTTCTGTTTTTAAGCCTATATAAATATTTAACCTGCATGGTGATCGTCTTGATCATGGTGTTAAATGACACTTTATTAGCCTCATTTTTAGATGATTGCATTACGAATTTGGAGCATCTTCTCAGCTTACAGCTTCAGGCCCAGCTTGGAGCTTGCCATSTCCTGAGGAGAGCTGCTGGTGGTTGTGCCACCTCAGAGTGGGGCAGGCACCTTCTGGGTTTTGGCTGGTGTCAATTACTGTGGTAATTTAAAGCATCAAAGTGCCCCTCTGTGCCTAGAGCTTGCCCTGCTGTGCTCCCCACCCGGCTTGCTGTGTGTGCAGGAGAAGCTGCTGCTATCCTGGCTCTCCTGCTCATTCTTGGTCTTCCTCCTGACCAGTGTGATGCTGCCAGCTGTGAGACACCTGTGAGAAAGGGACAAGCTAAAAGGGGTGCTTAACAGGACTTGGTACGAGCCCTGTGGGCTGTCTTYGTGAGCAGCTGGTTTGGAGGTGGGGGGTATCATAAGAATAATATGAAGCATAGAAAGGGTTAACAAATATGTGGAAGGTCAGATAGGCTACTGATGAGGGGAATCTAAAAGCCTCGCGGAAGCTTTGCACACTGCAAAGAAGCCCCGTTTTGGCTGCTGATTCTGTCTTGTTCGTGTTCCCTGGCACCATGAAGGCTTCCCATCTGTGTGTCTCACTGGAGCAATGGCTGCTCGTACCCCTCTGCTGGGGTGTTTTGTTGTTCCCAACTCTGAGCACTGCATAGAAATGACAGGAGAGATGACAATAAATGGTAAGATTCCGGTGAATCTCTTAAGGGAAAATCTGGCCATCCTGTTCTGCGTGTTCTTGGTCAGAGATACCTCGAGTGGCTCTGTGCCAAGCACTGTGATTATGGCAGTAACACAGGAGATGATGCTGCTCCAGTGCAGTATTTCCTCGTAGAGGTAGCCTGTGTTTCTAGTTCCTCCTATATCAAGGAAAGACAGCAAGGGTATATAAAGAGGATCCTGCTGGCCAGAAATTTCCACACAAAGTGGAAATTCTACTCTATGGCTTCTAGACCATAAAATAAGAAAAAAATAGTATCTTATAAGAGGAAACTCCCTTCCATTTTGTGTTAATCCGGAAGGATAYTCTGCGCAACCTCTACCTTTGTTTCCTCTGTGAAGTTATCTTCAAAATAATAAAAAAAACCTTTTAGTAGAACTTATGAGTAGATGCATTCCTCTGCCTCCTGATATGCTCTCCTAAGACAGGCAGGCACCTGGTTGGTGATCAGGTCRCATGGCTGGGAGGTATATGGAGTACAGCAAGATGTGTGTTTCTTGCAGAGAAGGCTTAAGGCTCTGTGTATCTCTTCCTTGAGCTTGTCAGCGCTGCCTCTCCTTGTCCCTTGCCAGTGTAGGTGGGTTTTGAAGCCTTGATACAGGAAGGAACAGTGGAGAAGCATTGCAGGGGCAGGAAAGGAGGAACGAGGCTGAGCAGAACCACCTACGTGGTGTGAAGATGTGTGTCACTTGCTGTTGCGGCTCCTATTTTGAGTGGGAGCAGAGTGCAGCACAGGAACTGCTTGGATTTATATTGGGACAGCACATCACACTGTTTAATGAGGCTATGAGCTGCTGATTTGAAGGGAAGATGCTTGAGTGTTACCTTCCAGTTTTTCTGAGTTCAGTTAAACTCTGCTGCCGGAGTAACAAGAAGTGGCTCTGGAAAGAGAATGCACTGCTCCTTTCTGGTATCAATAGTGCGCAGTGTGTGGGGTTTCTTTGTTTTTCCTAAAGCAGGACAGGCTAAACAAAACACTTGTTTATTGAGGATATGCCAACCTAATCTGGTTGCTTTTCTCGTTCAAATGCTTGCAGCAAAATCAAGTTTTTTTGCATTTCAGTGGAACAAGAGAAGTACGATCCAGGTTGGAGCTTACTGCTGAGSCAGGGCCATGATCCGGTCGCGGTGGCCACAGTGCTGATCCCGCTCGTGGAACCACCTCGCGTTGGTGTCGGAGTGATGGCTCCGTGCATGCGGGCGCAAAGGAGCTACAGGGGCTGCCCCATGGCTGCTGCTGCTCTGATGGCTGCTTGGAGCCCAGCCCTGCCATGTGCCATTCCTGGGTGACTTGGCCCTGGAGGAAAGCTTCTTCTCCCAATAGTTGCTCACTGGAGATGAGTTTATGCCATGGAACGTGTTGGGATTGCTGTGCCCAAATAGCCGTTTTTTGTGGTTTGTGCAAAAAACTGTACCCTCCACCCACCCTGCAACCCTGGAGCTGCCTGGAGCTCTGGTTCAGCAAAGTTGTTGTTTAAGGATGGTGGATTTAGGAACCTTTTGTTGTGCTTGGATCAGGCAGCTGCTTATCTTGCTAAACCATTTCCATAAAGTTGGTGTAAAAACTGCCCTTCAGCAAAGGAAGTATTCACATGAATATGCACAGTAGAAAGTTAATTTAGGTGGGTTTGTTTCCCTGTTTAAAAGGGAATGAGGGCTCAGGTAAGAGATCAGTGTACATTTTATTATGCTAGCAATTTTCAGCAGCCACTATGTGCTGAATTGTACCTCTGGTAATTGTACATTATAAAAGCTGCTCGAAGGACTGGAATTTTGTTGTCTGTGCTGAACTGTGTGCAGTGGACTCTAAAAACAGTACACGTTGCAGCAACAAATTCTATCTAGTACAAGGAGGCCTTTTTAAAAAAAATAAATAAATTTGGAGATGCTCATTTCCATTTTTCAGTATGCATGGAGTTGAAGGGAAGGGGAATGTCAACCTGGGAGCCTTCACAGAATTGTGCCCCATAATCAGCAACTGATCCCATCACTATGGGATCTTCAGCTAGTTGCTTAGAATAACTTCTAGCCACAGAGTATTCCTCTAATCCCTTTAGCAGGGATTATGCTCTCTGAAAGAGCGTTGGTTGCCAAGTTTCCTGAACTTGGGTCAGATGTTCACGTTTTTCACCTCCCTCTTTCTTTATCAGGTAGTGTGATGTTCCCTGACTTCTCTTCCTCAAAGGTCTGACCACAGTCAGGTGAAACAAAGTGACAGTCACAAATAGTAATGAGAATTCAGAGGATGAAGCAAATGTGCTGCTTACTGTGGTAGGGACCAGCCTGTGATATTTGCTGGGTGTCCCTACTTGAAGCAGGGGGTTTGGACTACGTGATGTCCAGAGGTGCCTTCCAGTCTCTG